GACAGATGGAGCAAGCGCCTTTATGCAAAAATCCACATTTTTAAACAAAAATTCCATCACCGGTTCTCCATAAACGTCTAATGTACAGCTGCACAGTGCTTCGAACATATGGCTCTAGAGGACCAAAATCCAAAACTTCTCTTTTATTGTAAGCAATTTATTCAAACTAGGTTTATTTGACACAAATGATGAGTACTCTCATTGTACTAAATCATGATGTTCTTAGTCCCACGTTTATGAAAAAAAAATCTTATAAATAATAATAATGTTGGAGCTGTGTTCCATCTAAGCAACGGTGTAAGTATTAAATAAATCCCTGTAATAAAAAAGAATTGAAATAACATTAGAACATGATTCCTACAATATAAGCCTAATATAAGATAAAAATGTTTTTCTTTAATGAAAAAGAAACATTAATGTTATATTTAATTAAAAAAAAAACTTAAGATACTATAAATTTACTTTAGGGACAACAAAATGCATAGATCGTAACTACTCTGATTCAGGAGAATCACTGCTGACAGAATCTTCCAAATTTATAGTATCCAAATCACAGGTAGATGAAGTATCCTCACATATAAGATATTTCTGTACATCATTTTCTAATATGTTACTTTTTCGCGTTGTTACTGTTCATTTTGTCGGTATGAGGGGTTCGGATGTTAATAGCTACCTCTTTAATAGACCATATTCATATATTATTTTTTCCTTTACTTGGACATGAGATTTTATAATAAATTGAAAGATGGACACTTTTTTTATGCGACGTTTCGCTCCAACATACTGGACTTTTTCAGGCACAAGTGGTGTCTCATTTGACTGGAAGGTTCATCAATATCTAATAAGAACGTATTTTTTGAAATACAAATAATTTTGAGTTCTTGTCCTTATGATCAAGCCAAGTATTAGCCAGATCCGCATTGCTTATCAATTTTACTCCATCTGAAAAGTATTATAAAATAAAGTTCGTCGCAAGCAGACGCAGATGAACTATACAAAAATTTAAAAGTGTATGAATATGGCAACAAAAATATTCAATAAATACGATATGTTTTGATATGTTTTTTAAATGCCTTTTGAAGTTTGAAAACGTAAAATTTTTATACCCATTTAAGAATCATCTTAAAAAATAAATAAAAACTAAACAATCACGAACTTGTTTAGAAATAAATTTAAAGTACATACCTTGTTTAACAATATCCATAGTGGCTTTCAATTAAGTACGTACCCGTTTAACTCCATAATATACAGAACTACTATAAATGTTATTCTTTTCACTGAGAGTAAAAATATTTGCTAACAAAAACGCTGTTTATGAAAAATAATATACAGGATGGTTGAACATTGCTATAAGTATAAAATTATATATTCAGATATTAGTAAATTTTAACTTATTTTTTGATTTTTGTCCATGGGACGAAGCACTGTGAGCTGGTTCGAAAAAAAAATGAATACGACTCTACACATATTTTTTCGAATATTTAAGCAGTGTATATTTATGTGTCAAGTATTTTGACATGTTAAGGTTATTGTGATATTGTGTAAAACAACTTTGCTTCTGACAAAGTGGCAAATAAATTTTTCAGAACGTCAGAATCATAGAATATACTGCCCGAAATAATAAAAATATGTTTTAAATCGTACTCAATTTTATTGGAACCAGCTGTACCATGGCTGTGAATCACTCTGTATATAATGCCCATAAAAAATTGGAGATATTTTTTTCTTGTAAAATGTGTACCCTGCACCCTCGTTCAGACCACACGAGCCACTACTGAATGAACTATACTTAATGGACCTGTTGCAATAGGGCTTTTCATAGGGCTGCTAGCGTATTTTCAACTGCGAGCTGCCTTGTGAAAAGCATTGTTGCTAAGGCATCTACAAAATCATCTTTAGTTTATATACAGAGCGAGCAATAATAATAATGATTAAAATAGTTGGATATATTGAGATTTTGTTCGTTTGATTGCCAATAAATTTAAGAAAACAAAATAAAAACGCCATTTATTATTAAACTGACATAAGCTTTTTTCGTTTTCCTGTTATTACCGATTCTGAACCAGTGCCTTCTATTAAAAGATCAGCCTACGGGCGGACTTTTGTTTACTTCATCAGCTGTACATACTTAGATATTGGGTTAGATTCCGTTTCATATTTTGTCGGTTGATTTTTGGTTTTAACTCTTTGATTTTGAAAAAAGCAGCATTTATTATTGTAGTAAAAAAACCGTTTGTGCCTGTTGAAGTAACATAAAATACTACCAGATATATGGTCACTCTCGGTTTCGCATAAAAAATAGAAATTTTAAAATTACACGTTGTGTAAGTGATTTAACCTAAAAGTGCCAATACATTTTTACTTATCGTGATTTTTGTGTGTGTTTTTAAGACTCTAACAATTCATCAATAAAGCTTATGTGGAGTGTGTTTTGGTGCTATAAAGTCATCTTTGTTGTGTTCCTGGTGGAAAGGATAGTTACTAAATAGTTATTATAGCTTCAGGCAGCCTAAAGTGTCCGGAAGAGCAAGAAAAGTGGGTACGAGTTATAAATCAAGAGAATTTTATTGAAAATATCTTTAATAAATTTAAAAATAATATTCCTCCCATGATGGTGATTAATGAAAACAGGACAATTATGTTTATTTTATTCATATTGTGGAATCTCCACTCCAAGTAATTGCTGGTTCAGCTTCGATAGATTCAAACACGTAAGTTAGGCATTATGATCTAGGAAAAATAAAGAATATGTGTATTAGAGATCATGAAAAGATTATTATTTTGAGTTCAAATTTTAAAAAAAAGATTTTTGTAAAGACAAGACTGATACAGTTTAAAAAGAAGAATGTGTTTTTGTTTGATAATATATAATGTATGTTAAGCATAACATATATTTGTTCAGTAATTTTAATGAATAGTATTGATTATTTATAATACCAAATTAATATTAAATATTTAAGTGATGGCTGAATACAATATGAATAAAATAACAATAAAATTGGTATATTTGCATAATACAAAATTAAGTTTTAAGAATAAAGGTGTTACTAAAAAATACTAAGTAACTCATATTTCTTTGTTTTAATTGGTCTAATGTTATTTACATTTTACGTAAGAATTATACCGTATCATCGAAAAAATCGGCGTCTAGTTGGCTTGGAAATGAACATCGATGACATTCCCTAAATAACTGTACACATAAAATAATTAACTAGAATTTTACAATCTTGGAAAATTTGATATTCTTGAACCTTTGATTCTAAATATTCTAAATTTTTAAATTTAGGTTCGGGAAAAACGCTGATTGATTTTTCATTTGGTTTTTCATTATTTTTATTTGGTTTAAAAAACGGTTTGGCTAACATTATAGCCTCCATCAGTGTTGTGTCATATGAAAAATAGTGTCGAATATAATCCAAAAATTGCATATAAAAATATTCACACCACGCACATAATGTTTACTGCGTACCCATAGTCAATGTAGATAATTTTAGTGTTAAGAATAATAATTTAAAAATATGTGGTCATCTTTTGATAAGTTTATATTAGTTTATTAATTGCAGTAAAATATTATGAGGTGTGAATTATATTGTATATGTAATTTTTTGGATTATATTCGACACTATTTTCTCATATGACACAACACTGTGAAGGCTATAGTTAGCCGAAACGTTTTTTTTAAACCAAATAAAAATAATGAAAACCCAAATGAAAATTTAATCAGCGTTTTTCCCGAACCTAAAATCCCAAGAAAATCAAAAATTTTAGAATAATTTAACATATAAAATGCCAGCGATCTTCATTTCATAGCCATCGCTGACGCCTTTTTAAGATAATATTGTATTATTTGTAAATATAATTTTCGAACATTGATACTTGCAAAATATACATATATAATTTTGTGAATGCAAATAATAATACATCACTATTAGTAGATATTAAATGTTTTTTGTTAAATTAGATCGATTTTCAAACCCCAAAATTTAAAATATATTTACATTTTACCCATTATCTTATGTACCTATACATTATTTTTACATTGTAAAACATTTGCTGCATTTGTATGGTTCATAGTTTATTTGCCAAAGTATTTATTACTATAAATAGGTATATATGTTGTAGTTATTAACTGTATATTATGTATATTTCATTTAAACTATATCATTTTTAAAATACAAACCAAAAATCTGAGGAATAATTATGTTTTCCATGTATTCTACAACATATTTATTAATCCGTTATATCTAACTAGCGTGACGTCATAAATCTCGCCCCAAGGCTGATCTTTTAATAGAAGGCACTGTCTGAACCGTCCTAGAATTGTGATGCGTATGCGCAGAAGGAAATATGAAGATATTATTTCATTTGCGCATGCGCTGGATAGTTCTAGGACGATTCAGAATCGATAATAACAGGAAAACGAACAGACCTATAAAGTGTCAAATTCAACGAGCGTAACCATAGTTTCTCTCTATATAATTATTTAAAAAGCATTACTTTTAAATATTTTTATATTATTTGGAACGTTTAAAATTGTTTAAAAAATTATCTGTGACGTTTGAAAAAAATAGTAGTTCTATTCGAAGTAAAAATGACGGTTTGTGCCTTTCCTGTATGTCGAACGTACAGCCTCGCCACAAAAGTGTCATTTTTACTCCTAATAAAACAATATAGTATTTTTTTAAATTGAAAAATATGTCGGTTTAGCAAACCATAAAGTTAGTACTAAATTTTAAGAAGATAAAGATATATAATTTGCTTTAGCATCAGTACCAATAGCTAATCCAAAGACCCTCTCAGTGTTGTTAACTATTTCAACCATTGTTGACCTCTTCGTATTTTGTACTAACAAACAAATTCTAGGCGGTTGCACACCAATAGAATATGTTTTTCCATTACTTTTATTTTATATTGAATTATTATCATATGAATCAGATCTTATAACTAATAAAGATAAGATATAAGATAACGACCCACCTATTCACCACCTAAAAACAAAAATAGATTTATATACTTATTATTAGTATATAAAGTATCAGTAAATGAATACAGAATATTATGACCATAGTTTCTTCAATTATGTTTAAAACTATACTTCTTTTTATGTTATCAAGCTACTTGGTAAGTAGAGGTACCTATTTTCGAAAAGAAATAAATCAATTTTATTATATTTTTTATCTCTGTATCACAAAACAGTAGTACAGGGTGAGTCAACGATAGGAGAGTTATAGGGCTGAAGAATAATACTACACGATCGAAAATATAAAATAAATAAAACGGCGTCAAAGACGGCTGGGGAATGACTATCGATGATAATTTTGACAAGGTCAAGCCCTAGACGTTATTTACTTGGCCTGTACTTTTCTTTACATATTTTGAAATGACATTTATATATACTGCTAGTTGGCCTTAAGAAGGTTGGTTGTAATTTATTTTTATACTGAGTAAAAATTATTTTTAAATGGTATACCAACTTTTTTATTTTTTCAGATAAAAAAATGAGATTTGGTATGTTAGTATCTATATGACATAAATTCGGATTGATTGACGAATTCAATTGTTTTTGGTCACTTCCTGTTTCACCGAAAATTACTACAACTTTTCATTTTTAAATGGGACCCTCGGTATTTTTTTTACTTTATTCGATAGAAAATGACACTCTGAATAGAATGACATATTATCAGCGAAAATGTCACCTTTTGGCATTTTCGCTTAAACAAAATCGTATTTTAAATTTTAATCTAGAGTGCCGGTTGGTTTTGCTAAAAACACTAATTTTTAATCAAGGGATCTGGAAAAAAAGTTTTAACAGTCTAATGTTTTTCGTGTCTTGTCCCAATTTTTTCAAATGGAACGAGCGTGGCTCATTAACATATTTAGAAAAAGCATTTTTTTACAAATAATTTGCTACTACACACTTGGTATTACGAGTCAAGTTGACGAATCGCATGTTACAATTTGAAATAAACCATATGCGAAAATGTCAAAAGTTGACATATGAAATGTCATTATATTCAGAATGTCATTTTCTATCGAACATAGTAGAAATATACCGAGAGTGAAATTTAAAAATCAAAAGTTGTAGTCGTTTCAGGTGATACAGGAAGTGACCAAAAACAAATGAATACGTCAATCAATTCTATTTTATGTCATACACTAACATACCAAATCTCGTTTTTTATCTGAAAAAATAAAAAATGTTATAGGGGTGAGCCACTTTTGAGACGCACCCGGTATAGTATAAATCCCTAAATTCGATGAAACATATTTTTTGGAAATATATAGATTTGTGTGTCTGAAAACGTTCTACCCTTTTTTAATCATTCGATAACTAGTATTAATTTTTGCCAAATTTTATGTCAATTGTTAGTAAATGACATCTGGAGATTGACGTCGTCAAAATTATCATCGATTGTCATACCCCAGCCGGTTTTTTTTGGATCATACGGTATACAGGATGTTTATAATAAATAAATAAAATTTCGACCAATTAAAATTAAAAAGTCTCAGTTTTTTAAAATCAAATAAAAAGATAGTATACGCAGTGTCCCATTTTCTGACAGATTTTACAAAACTAATCAACTTATTTGTAGTTTTTTTTCTTTAATTTAAAAGGTTTTCTGCGAAGATGTACTTACTCCTGATGATGAAGGATCGACGCAACTCGATAACTTTTTGGACCTATTGGAAAACCTTAGTGGTTTATCTACACTAACGCCAGAACGCACTGTCACAGTTTGTGGTAAAAATTGTATTGTCAATCCTAAAGGGAATGCAGTTTGGGAAGTAAGGTAAGCAGAACTGCAATAAGTCAGTTTTAAAAAGACTCAAGTCATTTCTAAAATCAAAATGATTTAAGTCTCAAGTCAATTTCAATATAAAGTTCTAATGTTTTTTTTTTCTTTCAAGTCAGGTTATTTTTGTACAGACTTAATCTATACTAATATATAAAATCCTTAAGTGACAGGCTCACTGATTAATCACGATCCTGCTCAAACCACTCAACGTAAGAAGCTCGATTTTGGCATACAGGTTGATTCTAGGGTGTAGAGGTTCGATAAGAAAGAATTTTTCGAAATTCCAGTTCCAAGAGGGTGAAACCACCCCTCAAATATTACAATATTTTTTATTTAAAAAACGGTCAAGTTTCCGAAAAAACGCTTAAACACGTATATTTTATTTTGTTTTTTTACATATTTTAAGATTTTTTAAAAATGTATACAGGATGTTTCGAAAAATCTGGTCATTGATTAATCACGATCCTGCTTAAAACGCTTGACATAAAAAGCTGATTTTTGGAAAACGGATTGACTTTAGGGTGTAGAGGTTCGATAAGAAGGGATTTTTCGAAACTCGAATTCTAAGGGGGTGAAACAACCTCTCAAATATTAGAATATTTTTTATTTAAAAACCGGTGAGTTTTTCGGAAAACTCTTAAACACGTATATTTTATTTTGTTGTTTTACATATTTTAAGATTTTTAAAAATTTATACCGGGTGTTTCATAAAATATGACCACTGAGTAATCACGATTCTGCTTAAACTGATTAAACCTGATTTTTGGCAAATGAATTGACTGTGGGGTGTAGAGGTTCGATAAGGAGGGGTTTCTCGAATCTCAAATTCCAAGAGGGTGAAAAACGCCCCTCAAATATTACAATATTTGTTATTTAAAAAACAGTTAGTCTTTCGGGAAAACGCTAGGACACGCATAATTTATTTTGTTTCTTTACATATTTTGAAATTTTTTAAAAGATCATACAGGGTGTTCCAAAATGTTGGGTAATTGATTAACCAAGATTCTGCTTAAACTGCTTGACGTAAAAAGCTTATTTTTGACAAACGTATTTTTTGAAAGTCAATTTCCAACGAGATTAAACTACCTCTCAAATATTACCAAGTTATATAATAATGTCGCCATATTGTTTTTTCTCATGCTGACATAAATGTAGAAAATTTTATCCAGTTTGTATGTTAATGGAAATTCTTGCTTTGCTTTATCATCACCATTACAAATGATTAATTCGACGCGAACGAAGTCGCGGGTACACGCTAGTTCAATATAATATTTCTATTCTATTAGGTAGTCTTTATTTGACTTAAGTCCTTTATTTAATTAAATCATGATAATCTGCAAGTTAGGTCAGTAAAATGACTTAAATCAATATAATTTCCCTCAAGTCAAGACAACTAGAATTCAATTTAAATACCGATTTTTTAAATGTTAATATTAATTTTCTTGTACTATTACCTATTATCCCGATTTTTTTATTATCTGTATTAATTTATTATAGATACAGATTAGAATAAAATATTATATAAACAACTATAATAAACAATAAAAAAATAAACGCATCAAGGACATTAAAACAGGCATATAAAAACATCAACAGCTTAAATAAAATTAAATTTCGTGGTACTTTGTACAGGTGGTCCTATTTTTGTGTGTTTTACAGGGTTTCTAGTTTACGAGCAGCGGTACAATAAGATAAGGTTTTCACAGTTACTACTTTTTTTATGAAACTAAAGATGGTAAACGGTAAACATACAGTGGTGGCCAAAAGTATGGAAACTTTTTGCTTTTTAAAATATCACAGAAAATATTGCTATCTATGATTGCTATGCTTAAACTCTCAGGAATATAAATGAACAGCTTATCAGCAAATAAAAGTATTCCAAAAATTACACAGCGAAAAAAATCTGTTTAGCAGTTTTTGTAGGAGAACAATAGATTTCTTGTGGCCAAAAGTATGGAAACCATAAACAAATACATTAAAATTATTTAGTTTAAGCTGATAAACGGTACGATTTGGCTTCAGATAAATATAAACATCATGCCCAAGTCTAAATATTTCTCTACGGATTTAAAAAATAAAATAGTTAAATTATACAAGAGCGGTTATAAACAAATTCAAATAAGTAAAATTTAAACATTTTAAAGGGCACCGTTTCGAAAATGAATTCGTAAATTTAATAAAAACAGGGAACGTTTCAACAGCTTTTAAGTCAGGAAGACCAAGAAAGTTGCAACAGGACAAACAGTAATGTAGGGAGAGAATATCAATGGGAGATCCAAGAAAACATCCACAGACATTTCTCGAGAAATGGGTGAAAGGAATATCGGTGTCTGCACGCACGGTGAGAAGAAGGTTGGATGACATGGGACTTTTTTGGAAGAGTTGCGGTGAAGAAACCACTAATATCAAAGAAAAGTAGGATGGCCCGCTTTTTAAATTTGCTCAAGATCATCTCACCTGGTCTTATCAGAAATAGAATACTGTACTGTTTAGCGACGAAAAGCAAAGTTTCAACTGTTTGGTAGTGACGGGAGATGTTATGTCCGAAGACCAAAAGGATACACGGTACAGCCATAAGTACCAGATGCCCACAGTGGAAACATGGGGGTGGGAGTATAATGGTATGGGGTGTTTTTTTCTCGCTCTGATTGGGTCCTCTTTGTTAAAATTGATGGAATAACGTACCGTTTTTTGTATAAAGACATATTGGAGAATAATATGCTGCCTCATGCCGATGAAGAAATGCCACTCAGATGGTTGTTCCAGCAAGACAATGATCCCAAGCACAAATCTCGGTTTGTTCAAAATTGGTTAAATGAACATAGTGTTCCACTAATGGATTGGCCCTCACAGTCTCCGGTTAAGATCCTGATCCCATAGAAAATTTATGGGACCATTTGGATAGCAAAATTCGAAGCCATTCTATTTGAAATAATAATGAATTATGGGAAGTTGTAAAAACTGAATGGGCGGCCATTTCCAGTAAAGATTGTACGAGATTGATCGATTCGATGCCACGAAGATACGAAGATGTAGAGAAGTAATTAATTCAAAGGGATATTCCACTAAATATTAGTAATTTTTATATTATCTTGAATTTTAATAAACATTCTTCTTCAGTTTCCATACTTTTGACCAAGAAAATATTCAGGTATTTTCCACAGTAAATTTTTATCAAAGCCACCCAATAATTTTTCTCTCGTATTTTACCGTTGCCATAATATGAAATAATACTGTGTGTATCTGCGAAACCATTAAAATTTTTGAAATACTTTAAATACAAAAAATGTTCATTTTATAATTCTCCATCACTGAAAAAATAATATACAGGGTGTTCCACTTAAAAAACGAAGAAAGATTATTTTATATTTTAGAAAGTTTGACATAGAATTTTGAACATCCTGTATGATTTACCGTTACCATATTTATAGCAAAGTAAGTGCAGACCATCTAAAGTAAATACCTAATATAATTTTGTTTTCAGGGCAATTCTTGCACTCTTTAATAATTTGTTTAAGAAAGGCTGAAAAATATACAGGGTGTTTCAAAACAAATGCGAAAAACTTTAGGGGGTGATTCCTTGTTCAAAATAAAGGGTAGTTTGCTTTATAAACGTTGGGTCAAAAGTCAACCATTAGGGAGATATTGCGGTCCAAAGATTGCGAAAAAATAATGTTTTTATCTTTTATCTTGAAAACGAAAAGAGATAGACTAATGAAATTTTATGGAAGCATTACTGTTATGAAAAACACACACTTTCTGGTAATTTTTTTCATTTTTTTAAAATGAGTGGAAGGGTTGAATAAACTACCCCTATCATTCTTGTTAACAAAATTTAAAGAAAATCTTATCAAACACATGCAAAAAAAAAAAAAAAATTAATTTGATAGTTTAGTTTATTTAGAAACTTTTTATCTCTTCTATTTTTTGATAAAACTCACCGATTTGAAATTAAAAACAAAATTCGAAGCCATTCTATTTGAAATAATAATGAAATAATAAACTGAATGGGCGGCCATGGCTAGTGATAATAACGATAATAATAATCATCTAGATAATAACGTATTGCAGTAGAGTAATGTCAAATAAAATAACATTAGGAACATCCTAAAAAGTAACAGCGGCCGACTAGATTTTTTCCTAAAAAAATTACAGCAGCCCACTAGATTCTTTATCAGAAAAAAATGTTTTTGTCCTGGCATGTAATGCTTTTACATTTTATTTTTAATTTCAAATCGGTGAGTTTTATCAAAAAAATACAAGAGATAAAAAAGTTTCTAAACAAACTAAACTATCCAAATTAATTTTTTTGCATGTGTTTGATAAGATTTTTCTTTAAATTTCGTTAACAAGAATGATAGGGGTAGTTTATTTCAACCCCTTCCACTCATTTTAAAAAAGTGAAAAAATTACCAGAAAGTGTGTTTTCATAATTTCATTTATCTATAATAATAATTTATTAGTCTATCTCTTTTCGTTTTCAAGATAAAAAATTAAAAACATTATTTTTCCGCCATCTTTGTACCGCGATATCTCCCTAATGGTTGACTTTTGACCCAACGTTTATGAAGCAAACTACCCTTTATTTTGAACAAGGAATCACCCCCTGAAGTTTTTCGCATTTGTTTTGAAACACCCTGTATATTTTTTGTTTATTTAAAAAATATCTCTGAAACTATCGAAAAATATTTAATCATATCTTAGAATTATGTAAAGCGATCTGAAAGAAACCCAAAAATGCAATAATATACAGGGTGTTCCATTTAAAAAATACATTCTCATAATACTTTACGTACTATTGCCTGACCCTGTATATTGGATGCTGCTGTTAAAAATTTACGATAAAAATATAAGAAAAAAAAACTTAAATCTCATAAAAGATTTAAATCTGATCTAAAAAGACTTAAATCTTTTATAAAAACTTAAATCTTTTTTTAATGACTTAAATCTTTTTCTATATCGAATATTGGAATAAAGACTTAAATCACAAGTCATTTTGAAAATGACTTAAATTTTAAGTCAGCTTTCGAAATATGACTCAAAATCAAATGATTTAAGTCATTAAAATCTATGACTAAAGAATATAAGGACATGTAACGCCCCTATACGGGCTGCAGCAAAATTTGTGACCTTGGAGACCTTTCTTTTGGTGGCAAACAATGAGTCATCATTTCGTCACCAGCGACAATTTTAGCGATTTTTAATAGTTTGTGTGTAGTAAACTTTGTATAAACTTTATTACAATGGTGATTAGTTGTTCAGCTTTCAAGTGTAAAAGCAGCAGCGATAACAACTTTTTAGCGTTTTCTTATTGAATTCGATAATTATTCTTCAATTTCAATTAACATCTATATGTACTTGATATGTGCTATACGTCGATACAAGTTTTGTACCTTTTGTTAACATTTTAATACGTATTTTTCGTAATTAATTAGGATGATACACCATAGGCGTAGTCAAAACAATTATCAAAAAATATAAATATGTATTGCTTCCATAGACTTAAAATAAAATATAGACTACACTATTTACATCTCAACGCGGACAGACAATATTTTTTGTACACATGTTTACTTCTGGGTACAGTCGACCGAGCCTTCCTCATCCAGCCTATGTTGTCACGTCTTTAATATTATCAATATTTTTTTTTCTTGTTATACACATATATTGAGATATTAATACTACAGTTTAATAAAGTAGGTTTTAATATTCCATAGATGTATTAAATAGTCCTTATACTACTAAATTATAAGTCGGATACTGTTTAAAAAGGATAAGTTCTTTACAATATGATAACACCGATTAGAGGCGAGGGAGCCTATTCATTCATTTATTACCTTGTAGTACGCGTGGCAAGTGTGCGGTAAAGCTTTGATGCCGCTATGTCCCCGGCTGTATTAACGCATTTTCTTAGTTTGTAGTCCTTAAGTGTTTATTTTATTGACTTTTTCTGTTCAAGAACTATAAAATATGGTTCGCCAGTGCCAAATTTGCAAGAAATTTGACTTAAATAATCCATTTAAGTCTTGAAACGACTTTCGACCGGTAGACAACTCTCAATTTGCCCATTGGGAGCCAGTGGCGTTGTTGTAGAAAGGCGCTTATTTAGATAATATTTTAGTAAAATGTAAAATCTGAATTTTTTCTCATTACATTATTTACTTACTTACATTGTAACAAAGTCATAATTATAACCCTGTTAATAATTAATAATGATTTTATTAAAAATATGGTTTATTCTAAAATTATCTTGAGCATATAAAATAACATACAAGAATTTTAAATTGATATTACATTATGAAACAATATTTTTTAATATACCGGGTCGTCTCAAAAGTGGCTCACCCCCTATAACTTTTTTATTTTTTCAGAAAAAAAAACAGATTTGTATGTTAGTAGGTATGTGACATAAATTAGGATTTATTGACGTATTCGTTTATTTTTGGTCTTTTCCTGTTTCACCGAAATGATTACATCTTTTGATTTTTAAAGGCACCCTCGGTATATTGCTACTTTATTCGATAAAAAATGACACTCTGAATAGAATGACATAGCATATGTCAACTTTTGACATTGTCGCTTAAAAACAAATCGTATTTTAAATTTCAATCCAGGGTGCCATGGTGTTGTTAAAAACACTAAGTTTTAATCAAGAAGCCTTGGAAAAATAGTTTTGATCGTCTAATGGGTTTCGTGTCTTGTCCAGGCCGGTTAAAATATGTACAAATCGTATTTTTAATCATACATATGTCAATTTTTTCAAATGGAACAAGGGTGACTCATTAGCATATTTGGAAAAAGCATTTTTTTATGAATATATTGATACCACAGACTTGGTATTTCGAGTCAAATTGTCGTTATGAACCGCGTGTTACAATTACAGTTAAACCATATGCGAAAATGTCAAATGTCGACATATGATATGTCATTCTATTCAGAGTGTCATTTTCTATCGAACAAAGTTGAAATATACCGAGGGTGCCGTTTAAAAATTAAAAGTTATAGTCATTTCCGGTGAAACAGGAAGTGACCAAAAACAATTAAATGCGTCAATCAATCCTAATTTATGTCATATACTAACATACTAAATCTTGTTTTTTTATTTGAAAATATAAAAAAATTATGGGGATGAGCCACTTTTGGGACGCACCCGGTATAATAAAGACAGTACCGAGTTAAATAAATGTAGTTTTCATTTTATCCACTTCCTATCACCTTCCTTGATTTAATGGAACAGATTTATGTTTTCTCTAATTTACATAAGACATCACTTAACCAGAAAAAAATTACAACAATAATATTTTTTTTCTCTCCCTGTCGCCGATTCTATTATATCTGTGGAATAGATCCTGTTTTGATTAATATTAGGGGTTGTAAATGTTTGACTAAAATTAATAATTTATTATTAAATTAATAATTTATTATTAATTTCAAAAATTATGTAATTTCGATTATAAAATTTCTTCTATAACGTGTATTTTATTATTTTTATCCTTTTTGGACTTAAGACGTTTTTTCTAAACTTTTATTTGAAAAACCTGTCCTAAATCTTAATAAAATATAAAAAAGTTTAAATACGATATATTTCTAATTTAATTATAGCTTCATTAATATAAAAAAAATTACCCGTCTATGATACGGAGAGTTCAGGTGTACTTGAGAAACGAAAGACAGTGTTGTGTTTCTGGGCAGAGTCGTCAGGAAACGATCGTGACGACAGAGACAACGTATCTATCGCTCGTGTCGCACTCGTTATAACCTAAAACAATAACACAACAATAACAAGACATTGTCTGACCGCATGTTCCAGCTATTTATGAATGAGATGCTCAGTCTATATTTTATTTTAAGTCTATGATTGCTTCAAACAGCAAGATTAAGAAAAATATGTGCTACGACACTGACAATTTGCTCTCGGGTGTTATTTGTCCTTGGATTCTTTAGTCATTGATTAAAATAAATTAAATCAAAAAAAGGCTTAAATTTTCTGTGAGCTTGCAGCTCTGCTTCCAGTAATGAATGACAAAAAATTAATTTAAATTATTTTCATTTTGTTTTCTAGGGAACAGATGTATACCACATATCTGAAACAAAATGCTACCAATCCAGAAGTTTCAATAGACGGTTGTCTTGCCAGCCATCCAAGTGACAATGCAACTTTCAACGATTGCATGAGTCAAGTTCGAGACTCCATGATAAAAGATTTTAATTCTGCTTTCGATACAAATTTCATAAGTATTTTAGAAAAAGATGGATGCGAAAACTTTAATGATATCCTTAACTGTTATGT